TTGAAGATGAGATCACGAACCGTATAGCAAAAGCTCGGGGCGCTTTTGCTAACCTTCGCCACTTATGGCGCCGGCGCGACATCACTCTCACCCTGAAGGGTAGAGTGTACAATGCAGCGGTACGTTCGACCCTACTGTACGGTTGTGAAACCTGGCCCCTTAAAGCAACGGAACTGAAGAGGCTAGTTACGTTCGACCACCGGTGCCTTCGCAACTTAGCTCACATCTGGTGGGAACACCGAGTAAACAACGAGCGTGTTCGACGGTTGGTTTATGGCACAGGAAAAGGAAATGACTCGCTCAGCACCGTTATTTCACGCACCAGGCTCCGATGGCTCAGCCACCTGTTGCGCATGCCAGCCCACCGACTCCCACGACGTGCGTTGTTTGCGCGCCGGGAGTGTGAATGTAAGAAGAAGAGAGGTGGCCAAGCGATGACTTGGTCGAGAGGAATGAAGGCCCTCATTTCGAAGCTGGCCTCGGCTGGAGCATCTCGGTTCCCTGGTTGGGGTACGAAAGACGACGAACACGTTCGGCTGGATACACTTGCTGATATGTCTAGGAGCCGACCTCAGTGGCGTCCGTGCTGTGAGTTTCTTAGTTCCACCCCATCCCTCTTAGCCCCCCCCCTCCAAACAGGATCTCACGATCTAACCATATATAATATTGGATAGTAATATTTTTGCTGCATATTAGCCGGTTGGTAGCTTACCGGAACCATGCCCATCCGTTTCCGGTAGCTCAGCTGGCTTGCACCTGTTGCATTTCCCCACTTTTTTCCTTTAGGTATTGCGGCACAGTAGGTTAGGTGTTTCCCACCTCTAACTAACGTGTATAATGATGAATGATGATGATGCTGTAGCACTTGCGGTCACGAGTGCGTGAGTCAAGCAGGCCTAGTGAGCCATGAGCGAGACCACTAGGGGCCAACACCGAAACGACGACGAGTCCTGCTGAGAACGTAGGCAAAAACGGCGCAGCGTTTGTAGGTACGATGCATTCGATTTACTAACCGTGTGCTTGCATGCCGAGTCTCTTTATTTCAGATGGTGGGTTTGCTATATTGTGCTAATTCTTTTTTATCTCATACTAATGTGTAGCTGATTTATCTTCTATTAACTAACACACGTCCCTTAAACTACTTAAGTTAATTGCGATCACATTTTCGCTTTTGTGATATTTTCTGAAAATAAATTTTCCGACGTCTTGAACCTATCGCGGATTTGTTAGAAAATAATTTATTTCATGTGCTCGTTTAGTGAACAGTTATGTCAGCATATATGTATGCATATTTCGATTTATTTTTATCCGATATCGTCGTTTCAAGTGATTAGCTGTTATTTGATATACCCGGTGTGGTGGTGCTTGGTGTACAAGTTGACAAGGTGCCTACCAGTCTATTGGGGTGTCCGCGGTGTCATGGAGGAGTAGCACCTCCGGTAGGGGACCTGCTTTACCCTCCAGGGTAGTCCGCCTATCTTTGATCTTCACGTATCACCTACTCTCACCTGTGGCTCCAAGAATCTGCTTGCATGCGGCAGCGGCCACACGCCGGTCAACCGTCAGGCAAACGGGCTAAACGATGTGAGGGTAGCCGGGAATACTATACCCGGTGACTTCGTACCCGCGTGAAACGTCAGTCCTGACATCTGGGTGAAAGAGATAGATCCTCGATTCAACGGCCAGAAGTTAAGACAATTTTGCAGAACCCTGCTACCTTGCAGGTAGCACTTGGCTGTGCAAAGTCTAGAAGTGAACCCTCGAACAGAAGCCGGATGAGGTTGGGGTCCTCATACGTACCCATAATCCTCACGAAACTTCATGACATGTCCGTTACCCGCGATTCTTCTCATGCTACGGCGTTTCCGGTAGGCGACGCGCTCTACGCTAACCCAGTGGCCAGAGTGACAAGTAAGCTAGCTGGGTCCTTCAATCCCCGGAAGCCACTATTCATTGGATGCTGGAATATAAGAACCCGGTTGGATGTCGGCAGCCAAGCGTTGCTTGATATTCCCAGGGTGACTGTGCTTGATGTGCATGTTGACAAGGTGCCTACCTATGTACTACCCACTACCTAGTCCATAATGCTTCCAGGAGACAGTTGGCCGCTGCTGGAGGAGACGGGGTGCACGGTCCTTGTGGCCGTGCTAAGCTCGAAGAGTGGTTCCATGCACTCTGTGTGGGCGGGCTACGGTCTAGCCCCCGCCCTGAGTGCGATTGATCCCTAATTACAGCGTGCTTGTGTTTGCTAGCGAAAGAGTGTTTGCCGGCTCTGTTGATGAAAGTTGGCTCCCATCCGCATGCCTCCCGGTCGTATTCCTTCGGGTTTACTCCGGATAAGGGGAGAGTGAGGGGGAACGGTGAGTGGTGCAGCGCAAGCCACGCATGGTCCGTCTGTAGGCGCAGGCGTCCTGTGGCTGTCCCCGTGGAGGCTACATTGACAGGCAAATCCGAAACCAGATGCCGCCAACCGTGAGGAATAAACAGACGCACACACATACACACATACATAGAGAGAGAACATGCGTCAGTACCGAAGGCTCCAGTTTCCACAAGGCTGGAGGGGTTATTGTGGGTCAGGGGACTTTCACATAAAGAGTAAACACATACTGATGGTCTGGGTAGCCACAAAGAGTGAAGAGCGATTGTGAGTTAGAATTTCAAACCTATATCCAGATTGAGTCACAAACACTCTACCGTTTTCGTCGCGTAGTGACCATGGTGTCATAGAGTCACAACGGCGGAGATGTGGCGCTATACTCTTTGGCCTAAAATCAAGAGCCCGCCGTCTTTATAAGTAATAAAGGCCTGTAGAAGGCACACGGACATGATCGGCCCGAACATTAACGTAGATGATAGTGATAGTAACACAAACGACAACCGAGCAGTTCGGGTGGCTATTTGGTGACAGCGAAAGGTGGTACAGTGTGACCCCAGTCAGACGGAAGCGTTTAAATGCACCAGAGCATGCAACGTTATGTATGTACAAGGAGAAATTCAGAGAACAAGTAGGTCCCACGTTAGTGTACTTCAATATGAATTTCAAACAAGCAGGCGCAATTGCACTACAGAAGAAGATAAGAGACAACTGCGATGAGTCCGATTAGGAAATAAAGAACAAGATGGAAATGAGTAGCTCTGACGAGCACCACAATTTGTGATGAGGTTAGGGCACGTCTCTGAGTGGGTGTCGTCACGGTCCAAAGAACTGAGGCACGAAAGTAACATAAGAGAAATCGTTTCGCCACATACTTCTACGAAAGTGAGCACCACAAGTAAGCGCGAGTAAATGGAAGGATGTCCTAAAACCAACGAAGGAGTACATGAAAGGTTGTAGTAGCGTACGTAGGTTTATGGTCCCTGTATCCTCTCTCCAAAGAAAATGTGGATCACAGAGAAGCATGCTAACGTGTGGATGTGTACAATTGCGATTCGGATGGTGCATGTCCGTTGTGTCAGAATAGTAAAGTGAAGAACGAGCAGGTCCTCACTATTCAGTAACGAAGAAATGATAACCTTGCAGCTAAATGCATATGAAAAGAAAGGCAGATATTGGCAGCGTTTCGGCGTTGCCCCCCCCCAAACACAGACACCCCATAAACGGTTCCGTCCTCGTTTGGACTCACCAGATGGAGATGGTGTGAGCTAGGGTGGAATTCGGAAACTAGTGGCTAACGGTTGTCGCGTTGATCACTATGCCGCTAAGATCCGTGAGCGACACTTCGCACAGCGGTAAGGAATTCAAAGTTGGATTTGGAGTACCTGCTGTGTGGTTGGATTGCAATACGCAATCTTCATTGAGAGCTCGATCATTCCCATTACAAGGGCCGTATCCGAACTGGAAGGGTTTCGGTGTTGCTCCTTCAAACAGTAACACCCCACGACCGGTTTCGTCCACATTTGGGGAGAGCCAGATACTTTCTGTGGGAAAAATCAGCACCTCGGGGTATCAATTGTTCATTTGTTCTCCGAGCTTGGCGGTTTTCTCGCAAACGTTTCACCACCATGCGAGGGAGCGTTTCTTCTTAATACACTGCTCAAAGCTTTGGAACAAACTTACAAGAGTTATCAGAACTTGTTGCACACTGCGTTTGTTTAAGCTTTCGATAAAAGATCATTTAACCGTTCAAAATGTGATAATAATGTTTCGAACAGCACAGTCCTTAGATAACACTTTTGAGAACGGAGTTAATGGTGCCTGAAAATGCATGTGGTCAAGTGCACAAGTGGTTATATTTTGTTGGCCCGCAGCAGTTTATTTTCTCTTTTTTTCGTGTGCGATCAACTCTCATGTGACTGCCAAAAACTTGTCAGACGATAGAACAAGAGGAATGTAAATATTTTGGACCGCTTCGCGCTACACAAATTTTCGTTTTGTGCTCACATTTTTTAAATTTATTATACCATGATATGAAACTGCTGTACCATTATTTGATCCGTCCCTTCTAAGAAAGGCTTCTCGCATCGTCGAGCCCTATACAATTTATTTATTTACCATGCGAGGTGGCATCCTTAGTGCAGCGATATGTAGCGTGCAAGCTTACTTACAATTGATTCATCAACCCGAGCTACCAGTATTTCGAAACATTTTAAACCTCGGGGTATGTTCGGGTGATTCGATGGATGACAGCTATAATGCACTGCCGAATCTCCGGCCATCTGTTTATTACGATGTATCTGAGGATGGGTCGCCTTTCTCACTAAATAAGCAAGGCTATCTTAACGTCAATTACTATTTTAGAGGTTGTTTCTTCTAACGTAAAGAGTGAACAGAACTGTAATCAGCCGGCGATCCGTTTCAAGTAACAGGGTCTTAACAAAATGAGCTACTTACGAAGAGGATATCGGTCAACTTCATCAGCAAACAAAGGATTACATATTGATTTCGTTTATGGAAGTATGCGACAAAGACAGCATTTATTGATTTATAAAAAATAAGACAAATTACTGAGTTATGGGGAATAGAGGAAAAACAGTCGACCCAAGCGAAAGGCACGTACACAAAATCGATGTTTACTTGGCTGGATTGATTAGGAGGGAATCGAAAGTTCACCTGTAGGCATACGAGAGGAGCAGGATATCGTTGCGCAGGGGATGGAGAAGCGGGAGTGAAACGATTGGAAAGCGCTCGGTTACCACCAGAGACCGAGGTGGCTAAGTTTACACCGGGGATAGTTTCTACTGAAGGTACTACAAAGGGGGCGAACCGTGGCCATGGGACCGAAAGCTCCAGAATGCAGGATGTCGGATTGGAAGAATGTATGCTTGACGTCTTGGCCGCGCACGGAAAGTAGTTTGTTTGAGGCACTGTGACAGGATGAATTTCCACTTCCTAATGGATGAAAAACAATAGGGACGATATTAGAATTGATAAGGAAAACAGAGGATCGGCTCATTGGAAAAGACAATATCGGTCCACGTCCTCAATTAAGGTCAAAGAAAAAGAATGATTACAGAGAATGGGAGCTCAGCACGATTGAACGAGTAACCGTGATTGCAGTGATTATCGACCCCAGAAAGACGTGCGCCAACATGCACAGACAAGCGAGTACAATGCCTCAAAGCGCTGCTACACGTTCTGTAACGATATGCTGGTCAAACGTGACTCCAACACCAGAAACGTGTCACCCAACTAATAACAATCATCACGATTATACCATGAATCAATAAGGAACATGAAGGGGGAATGCACACGAAAAGGACAACCGATGGAAAAAGGTGTAATCGTTGGACAGAAAGGGTCGTTAAATACAAAAGTAGCCGACCTGGTGGGTACCATTTAGGAAGATGGCTTACATTAGCCAGAGCAGTCAGTTCCTTCGTGTGTTTTCGTCCCATCACCGACTGAATATAATGGAGTTTCATCCAACTTGGTGAAGTAGAGGAATGTAGCATATTCCACCGTCGGCAGTCAATAGGCGTTCGAAAAACGCGACCCAACCAACGTAGAGGATGCAACTTTCAGGGGCAGTTTAAAGCGGTGGATCGCTGTACACTGGCAGATCAATGTGTTGTTCACAATGTAAGCCTACCACATAAAGCCATCCTAAACGTACACCTGTGGTCAAACAGCAACAATCCCTAGGACGCATCTGCACGCAGCAGTCAATCCTCTGATGCGAGCAGTAGAACTGTCTTCTCACATACTGTGCCCATAATCGATCAACTAATACCATGTGCTTTGTTGACTTGAGAAGCAGTCGCGTCAGTGAGTTAATCACCAAGGATGGTACACGGTGATCACATAATTCGGGTGGTTAGTATGCGTCTGTGAGAACATATGGTACGCATACACAGCTTTGCGGCGGCAATCCAAAATTTGAAAATGTAGAGTACAGATAAAAGTCTGTAGTATGCTGTTTTATATGATCCAGAAAAGTAAGCAAGTGGCTGATTTCAAACACAAGTATGGTAAATCGATTTTGTACTTGGTCGACCCACTTAGCAAAAACTTCGCATTTTAAGAGATATAAAGGACGGTCATAAAGTTCAAAAAAGGAGATCAGAGCTTCTGTGTTCATATGGAGTATGGTTTAGAAATAAGATTTTGTGGCAGGCCCCCGCGCTCCCACAAAGTGGGCTATAGTATGCGATAGAAAGAAGCGACCATGAAGTTCAGAGAGAGGAACATGATAAATGTCCATACGAGTGGCGTTTTCTCACTGTGTATGCATAACTAACCTATAGACTATATCACTTTGGAAGGCCACCAGGAATTCATCGACCGTCGGCGCGTGTGGAACGACGTACATCAGAAGCTTAAAGGTCAATTTTGTTGAACTAATATGATCTTGGCACCGAAGTGCGGCGGGACCCAGTTGTCACGACTCAACTCGGCAGAATAACAAGTAATTAAATTACAGTGGTAAGAAAATAGGTTAAACGCAAATAAAATAAAACGAAAATGGAATCTGGACCGAAATGCGTAAAAATAAAAGAGATGAAAAATTAACGCCAAGATGCAAGAAACCGAATACAGGAGTGCCATTGACTGCGCAACTGCGCCTTGTCCGACAGTCTCCAACCACTGGTGTGGACCATCCGGAGACCCCCATCCAAGACGATAGACACCTGCCTGACCAAGTCGCTCAGTCAAGCTCTTCATGCTTTATATCACGTCATTGACATCTCGCGGTTTCGCTTAACTTGGTGTAGCAAAGGCGCTGGGGCCCACTTTGTTCCTGATCCACATCAACGATCTACCGCAGCGTCTCCGGTCGCCGTGTGCCTTGTTTGCGGACGACATGAAGATTTGGAGAGAAATCGACGCTCCCGACGACTGTGGCCTACTTCAGCAAGATCTCAACCGCTTATCCACATGGTCTGCAGAAGTTCTTCTCCCGGTCAACCCAGCCAAGTCGGTATTTATGAGCCTGGGGAAGGGTGCAGACGGCCGAACCTACACCCTTGACGGCTAAACGCTATATCCCATACCCTCCGTGAAGGACCTAGGTGTACTCTCACGCTACGATTTGAAGTCCGTGGACAACACGAACAGGCTATATCGGAACGGACTGCGCATGCTTTGGGCGCTCAAACGTAGCTTCTGCACATGGTCTGAAGAGGTTGCCACTCGCCTGTTCTCTTCTATCATTAGACCAATGCTAGAGTACGGTTCGCCCGCCTACTTTCCGATTACCCGAGGCGAGGCACAAAAGATCGAACGGGTTCAACACGTTGCTACCAGGCTGATCCCGAGTTTACGTGGCTTTGGGTATGAAGACCGGTGCGAGAAACTAGGACTCTACACCTTGTCCTACCGTCGGGTACGAGTCGACCTCATTATGACCTACCGTACTACATCTCGGTGAGTTCCCCATGTTAAGGCCAATGCTGCACTTACGAGGGCCATGCAGCACACGCGGACATAGATACAAACTTGTTGTGCCGGATATGAAACGTGTTCCCCACCCACTGTGCTTCGAACGGAGAGTGGTAAACATTTGGAATAGTTTGCCCGAACATGTGATTGAGGCAACATCTGTGCAACAGTTCAAAACGTTGTTAGATTTGCATTTTGCCTCTATTCGATTCAGAGAACGACTGCATACTTACGATGACATATCACATTTGTGAATCCTGAAATATCGTAAGTCGAATAGTTTAAATATTACATGAGAACGACAAGGATATTCACGGTTGACAACTATTATAATGTTTTTCACAATATTTCGAAAGAGTTGTACAGAATCCATTTCTACTTGCTCTATAATACAGTATTCAGTATTCAATGTACATTGAGGAAGCCGGTCAACAATTACACGGAGGACAAACGTAAGCGGTGAAGCATTAACAAACTTTCGAGTAAGGCACATCTCATCACTGCTTAACCGGTGTTTCAACCAGCTGTGAGCGATCCTTCACAAGCACCAGTGATCAAACATGACCACGCGTTTACTGTCTTCGCTGCGAACTTGCCATGATGCGTGTGATTCATGCAGTAACCCCGGCCTTATCACAGCGTTTTAAATCCTAACTTTCACTGATAGGCGGATACCCCACCATCTCCATATATGGTTGAGTCTTCGGAAAGCCACACGGGCCTTGAGGATATGGGAAGTAATTTCCTCAGTGATGTAATCACCAGAGGTGACAGCTACAAAGTTAAGTGAACCAATCCACCCCTTCCAGTGGCTTTTGGCTGATAGCTAAAAGCGGTGGTGTATCGGTCCAGTCGTGTAACGGTACTTAGCACTTTGAAGGTGCAAAGCAAATGTTGAAACGCGCAGCCCGTCACATCAGTCTGTTCAGTAGTGTTTGCGAAGCCACTGTGTCAGACCAAAGGAGAGCTATGTTGGCCGCATACTAAAGGTTTGTCAATCGGTCACCTTACATAACTTCAACTCCAGAAAAGTTAGAAAGAATCGAGCCACTCATGATCGTTTCGACCACAACATTGGCAAACCTCAATTGTCGTAGGGCGTTCAGGACACAAGTTTCCAAAGACTCCTACTTGTTTTCGAGGGTCACAGTGGCGAGACTCCAGAATGGAAAGCTTTTACGGTTAGACAGTTCCAACAGAAGCTAATGGATAAGGGCGAAAAGAGTAATGTCTCGATGCTCTGTGCAAAACATCCCGTGATCATTACTTAAAGCAACGAAGATGAATGTTAATCGCCAGACTACAATCAACTCACCTACGTACCATATTGAATGAAAGAGTGTAAATTAACACTGAGTAAGTTACGTCTGTTATTTAGTGATACGGCCGCCATCATTGTGACAAGCGCTGAACGAACGATTCATCCTATTGGAAATCGTAAGCAGCATGCGCTCCAACCGAATCCTTCAGGATGTGAACATATGAAAACTGGACTTGCAGCGATTCGTATGTGATACTGGGCGATGGGTAACGACGGATGCCTACTCGAATGAGTAACAGCAATATGGTGATCTCACGACCTACGATGGAGAAAGGTCATCGGGTACAGTTGCCTTGCTCCGTGTCAACAGTACGAGCCCAAAATAGACTCTCCTAAAGTAGGAGTTTCGATGTTTTCGTCACAGGCGAGGTTAAGTAATCCATCATCATCATCCATCATCACCATCATCATCATCATCATCATCATCATCATCATCATCATCATCATCATCATCATCATCATCACCACCACCATCATCATCACACACGTTAGCTAGAGGTGGGATACACCTCAGCTATTGTGCTGCAATACAGAGAAAAAAGAAAAAAAGCAAGCCGGTTGAGCTACCGGTAACGGATGGGCATCGTTCCGGTAAGCTACCAGCCGGCTACTGTGCATTAAAAAACTTAATATGCAAAATTATATAAAGCTAAATAATGAGATCGTGGTTGGAGGGGGAGGCTAAGAGGGATGGCGTGGGACAAAGAAACTCACAACACGAACGCCACTGAGGTCGGCTCCTAGCCATGTCAGCAAGTGCGTCCAACCAAACGTGTTCATCGTCTTTCGGACCCCAACCAGGGAGACGAGACGCTCCAACCGAGGCCAGCTCAGAAGTGACGGCCTTCATTCCTCTCGACCAAGTCATCGATTGGCCAGCCCTCCTCTTCTTCCATCCACAAACCCGGCGCGCAAACAACGCACGTCGTGGGAGTCGGTGGGCTGGCATGCGTAACACGTGGCCGAGCCATCGGAGCCTGGTGCGTGAAATAACGGTGCTGAGCGAGTCATTTCCTTTTCCTGTGCCATAAACCAACCGTCGAACACGCTCGTTGTTTACTCGGTGTTCCCACCAGATGTGAGCTAAGTTGCGAAGGCACCGGTGGTCGAACGTAACTAGCCTCTTCAGGTCCGCTGCTTTAAGGGGCCAGGTTTCACAACCGCACAGCATGGTCGAACGTACCGCTGC